GTTAACAATGTTTTTAGCCAGGTTTCAGTTGCTGTTGCCACTGCTGTTGCCGCTGTCGTTCTACTTGTACCGTACTTGTCGCCTTTGTTAATATTCTCGGCTTGCACACCGCCTAAAATTGACGCACATTAGAGCCAAAGTTCTGAACCTTTCGGCTTCGACCATCCTGTTCGGTTGGAGGCTTCCGGGTAGCCAACCAATCGGACTGTTTGATCGGGCATTGCATTAAGCTCATCATTTCCATCTGCCCTAGCCACATCACAAGGAGGAAATGATGGAGGCACCGACATTCTCTCCGTCATCCGTATTCGTATCCGCACCGCCATCAACCTCAATTGAAACTCGCGGCCTTTGATTACACTGAATTCTAATTTATGATCATTAGCGCTCTCTATAATCTATAATATTTTAAACAGTAATCTTTAATAAAGTTACCATTCCTACGGTTGCTTTAAAAATGTTTACGATGCAACCAATTCGAATTACCAGATAATTTTTTAAAGTGCATTTGTTGCCGATTTTCGATTGCTGTTCCAGCCGCAAATCGTGTTAGCCACGCCATTAGCAAAAGCTTGCAGAGAAACTGGCATAGTAGCAACAACAACGCGAAGAAGCGGTCATGCAATCGCTGAGGACTCTGAAACGGATCCTGGGTCATGGACGTCGGGGTCGTGGGTATCCTGCTCCTCTAATGTGCGCGCTCCAATAACCGTAAACCAATTCAAAAGCATATTTGCAAGCGCTGATGGACCGTGGACCGCAACGGGCTGAGTTGGGCGGATGAGCTGCCATCGAAGGGTGATGTATAGAACATCGGATTGTGGGGGTCTTGAAATATAATATTTAGCCCGGTTGGAGAGTGTTGAGCCCTTGGTTGTGTGTCTGCCAAAATCACTTGAAGTTTAAGGCACTCGGAAAAACAACAGAAATTTATTGTATTTAGTATTAAGTTAACTCTGACAAAGTTCTTATTCATTTTTCCAGGTGTATATTCAGTGTAATCTCGGCTAAGAAGCCCTGCCTGATAGCTGGCCTATGTCACCGATGAAGATGGCAGTGGCAATGCCTTTGAGTTGCCTTTTGCACCATGTGCGGGCCATAACAATGTGGAAAATTGTTTCCTGTATCAATTTCACACATTAAGGAAGCAATTCGATTTTATCGCTTCCTCATGACTACACGTTCAATTATTGAAGAGTTTACGTTTGCCGTCGGCGTTGTTGGCCTGAAATTCCTGCGATGTCGATACTTTTAGCATTTCGGCACACCCACACCCCCGGATGGCCCGCAAGTTAGAGCCATAAGTAGACCCTGTGTTAGCCTCTTTGCCAAAAAGCATTTTGCATACATTTGTCTGACTTCTTTTCTTCGGTCTGAGCCCCTTTGAATGGGTGGGTGTGCGTGTGTGTTTTGCACTCGAGTTAGGAGGTAATTCTTTTCAATTGTTGTCTTACAGAGCGTTTTACAAGCCATTTTCTGTTGTCTGGTTTTTGTATCTGATTGTGTCGGATTCCATGCGATCTGTGCCTTGTTTTGAATTTTTGTTTGCTTGATTAGCCAGTTTGTGTTGTGTGTTTTTGGTGTTATGCGACATGTTGAATCAGCCTCCTGTTCTAAAATTTGGTTTTAGGGAGGGTACTGCTGTACCATACCATACCTTAAAAACCACAAAGAAATTCCCAATACGTTTCCTGAAATTAACCATTCCCCGAATGACTTTACATTTTGTTTTTCATATTCACCAATTTTGATTATGCCACACTGGGAGAGGGCAGTCCTGAATCAAAATTGAAATCTCTACGTCGACAATAGCATTAGGTGAGCATGCCGGCCTTCGACCTTGCCTGTGCCTTTGCCGCACTCCTGGATCCAGGACTCTCAGCCGCTTTGCCGTTTGCTGTTTGCATATCAATTTGGGAATAAGCAACTCGGCTCGGGAGCTGACAGCTCCCGGTTTGTGTCAACAACTGTTTGGTATGCGTGGCATGCGGAGCGATGAGGTTGCCATCTGGGCCACATACAAATGAGCCATTGTGGGTCACGTAGCACTCAATAGGTCAACGGGTCATAACAGATTCGTTTCGCTATTTGTTTATCGATGGCTTTTGGCCCGACTGCATATGCAATTAATGAACAATGGACCAGGCTCCCCTTGGTCAACTTTGTGCCAACAAATTTAACGAATTAGTAAAGAAATTAAAAAGTAATTTCTGCAAGTCGCCGGGAACGGGACGAAAGATTTGCATTTGCCAGTTGGTAATGTGGCGCATGCAAATGAAGAGCAGGGGGACCAAGAGATATCCGTAAACGGCTGATGATGATGGTCTGACAATGATGCCAACTGCCAGCCCGAAGTTGAAACTTTTAATTTGATTTGCAGTATTTTAATGGATTTTAATGAAACGCAAACAGGCGACGATTGCAGTAGCACAAGAAAAAATAAAGAAAAAGAGCAAAAAGAACTCAAGCCGAGTTGAGCCAAAAAGGACACTCGAGGGAAAGAGTCCTACGAAGGCGACAAGGAGGGGGGTACAAAACTTTGACAAATGCCAAAGCGCGAAAAATTCACTTCACTTTATTTTGGATCTGGCTCGTTCTTTTCGGTAAGTTAGACGCAACTCAAGAACTTCCACTTGATAAGCGCCTGTCTGTGTCTGTGCCAGGGCCTGGGCCTGTGTCTCTCCCTTTCCGTTTCGTAATTGAAAATGTTTGAAATTCCATGCCCATGCCGTCTGTCGGCTCGAAATAAACACCAGAAAATCATGGAAAGTCTTTGGGGAAAATAAAATGCAAAATTAATTTCAATTAAGTGTACTTTGCCGAATCAGGAATATGACAGCTATGCGTCATAAGTCATGCATGTTCTGCGACAAAGTCACTACAACAGAGAGATGGCGGGCTAATTAAAATTACATAAATTACGCATACGCCATGTGGCGTCCGCGAAATGAAGCGAAAATGTGAAAAGTTTCGCATTTTTGATCAAAGTCCATGGGCCGACTAATTTGATTAGCTTCCAGGGCCAGCCTCATTAAGTCCTGGCCCTGTTCTTTGCCCTTCGGTTGCTCGTCTTCATCTTTTTCGCTTTTATATTACGGCCTTTCCTTTTTGGGGCTTTCTATAGCTTTTCGTCTTGGCATCTCCCTTTTTTTTGTGTGTCCTGTCCCATCTCTCGGACAGAACTCATGCAACATTTAGTGGCAACTAATTGCAGCAGCATTGAAATTAATTATTTAACCCTTTTTATTGTTTAAGCCTTCTCGGCTTTCCAGTTTCGCTGCCTTTTTGGCCTGGCTTTCGGGTTTTGACCGGGACGCGCCTCATTAGCATAATTAATTGTGCAAATTTGTGTAGTTAAACAAGTTATTATTTCAAATTAAACGACTACATTTCATCACGGCCAAGAGTCGAAGCTGTCAGAAAATTTACTTACGATCTCTTAAAGCTCCTGCAGTTGAAAAGTCTTATTCATAAACTTACCTGCGTAGATGAACAACAGTATTAAAGTATTAACGGATATATTAAAGTATGATGGAGTTGAAGCTTTGGTTCAATAAATGTTTTCAGTAATAAAGTCTGAATTTCCTCAAGTTTTGGCTTTTGATAATTTAAAACTTATTTACCGTTTAATTTAATACTCTTGTTCCAATATGTCTGTTGTGATACAGATTAGTGAAACGTACTTTGAATAAACGCATTGAAACCCATAAATTGAATTATTTATTCATCTTATTTATTTGAGTTTTTCATGAACAGCAGGTAAACAAAAACAAATGCATTGCAGTTCGCCTTTGAAATATTTTACACAATTTAATGGCCACTCGCCAATATGGGAAAAAAGACAAAATAAATGCTTTTATATACATTACCATTATTTTCTCACGTTTATTTTGTTCTCGTGTGTTTTTTCTTTACAACCGAAAGATGTGCAAATGAGTAGATAAATTAATTTATACATTTATGTTTTATAATTTCCATGCTTTTTCATCACACACTCTGAGTTTTATTTTAATTGGATACATTTTCAGACGAAATTCAGGCTTCATTTCATTATTATACTGTACTATAATATTGCATGCTTAATAATTTTTTTTTTCTGTGGCTGTATTTATAGGGATGTGACCCAGCGGATAATATTTAGTGTTATTTTATAGTCGCTCAGCTAAATAAATCGTTTTCGCCTGATTATTATTTTGCTGTTCGTGTTTTTTTTTTATCGTTTGCCTAAATAAATACATGAGATATATAGCGAATAGCTTTATATACATTCGTATTTAGTTGAGCCGGCATCGCGACTTGATTTATGTTATAGTTGTGTGTCGTCTGTTTCGAATGTTTAAAATTATATTTACAGCACTGCTATGCTAGACTTAATTATAATGATTTTTACAGCATCTGCCCTTTCGTTTTAAGCTGATAAAATCTCATGTTCTTCCATTATATTTGTTTTTATTTTTTCACATTTATTTTTATTGTAGAGTATTTTTTTGCGTTGTTTACCATTGGTGTGGTGTGTGATGTGCGCGAATATATTTGCTTGAAAAATGTTCCATGTGCACTACGAATGAAAATCAATTGCCAAATAGCAATTGAAAAAATTACGCCTATATACATATATTCGAAATTCGATTGGTTTGCTGGAGAGGGACTTATTTTGGCTAGTATCAGAGTCAGGCAGTTAAAACAGTTTTTCCGTCAGTTGCAATACGATGGAGTATAAATTTCCCATTTTTTACTGCATAGTGTTTTTTAGCAAAGCTGACACAAAAAATTCATTTACATGAAAAATATGATTTTTACTACAAAGAAGTATATATATAATAAGGGTGTTTCACAATGTGAAAAGTGATAACATGGTGTTTTCTAAAACGATTTTGTTAAACATAAACGTTTGTGGTTTGCATTTCATTTATAATTTTTCAGACAAAAAAAGGAAACGTGAAGTGTAAATAATTCATATTTTAAACCCTTAATTTGATTAGGTTGAGCATTTTCTTATTTTACTTTCATAAAAATTTAATTTTTACGAAACAAACTTGAAAATAATAGGAAGTTTTAAATAAATTGCACACTTAATACTATTTTGTTTCTATAGCATGTATAAATTGTAACATTTTAGTCCTTGAGGCTGCCCTTGCTCCTTGAATCGTATTTACACTTGGCAACCCAAAGCTTTTCCTATTGGCTAGAGTCACGGTCTTACCTTTGTCTGTTATCCTAACTAACTAACTAACTAGTGACTAACTGACTGACTAACTAACGTGATGATATAGTTGACAAGGTTGCCAAACGAGGCAATTTCCATTCCAAATCGACAGTTTTCACTTAATCCCCAGTATTCCCTATAGCTGTGAGTGTTCATGACGGGCGCCACAGGCATTGGAGCAAAGAAAATACCGCTAGGATTGCGGAAATTATTGATGTCCTGCCACCAAGACAATTCCTTTGTCGTGCTCCAGAGTCTTGAGTGGTAAAAAAAATCAGAGGTACAAGAAGTAACAAATTAAATTTCTAATAAAATGTATAAATAAATTGGGCTAAATTAAACTTTATATTTGAAAATCTAACCTAAAAATTTTGAACCGAAACTCACTTGTATTTGCGTGTCTCAGTGGCATTTGATTATTGAAGTTGTCGAATTGCGACAAGGATGCACTGAGCGTGGTTTCACGCCTCAATTCTGGGTAATTTTCAATTTCCGCCACGCACTTGAGCTCCAGGATCTTTCCGGCCTGAAAGAAGCGCTGTCCTTGTAGATAGAAATGAACTTGCAGCCTTTGGCGCCGCAAAACGTAATCATGGGCCGGAATGCTCGTGTCAATCGATGGCTGCAGCTCACCCAAAAGTGGCTGAAATTAAAAGAAAGTCCACCAACTATTAATACTACACTAATAAGAGTATTGGCTTAATTAATCATTATCTGCAGATCGAATAATCACCTGTTCGCCATTGATGTACCAGGTTAGCCGAGTCGGCAGGCTGGAGTAGTCCGAGGAGCAGGTGGCACTAAGAAACTCTTCCATGCGATACATTGAATTAAAACTCTCTATTAGCGGATCGCTTTGCGGCAGGGCTACAAAAAAATTAAAAGAAAAGTTTCCAAAATTTAAAAAGAGTTTTTCAGAAATGCTGACTCAAGGACCCACCTGCCACCGTCATATTATCGGCCTTGTCGGCCAATTTAAAATGCGGTGCATCGCCACTAACTTCACATTTGTAAACGCCCGTCGACTTAGCTCCTTGCAAACTCAGGTCCAGTCTACAGCTGGATTCGTTGCATAAATATTTGCCATCTAGCACCTGCAGTCCCTGAACACCAAACGTCATATAAATCGGACTCGTCAGGGGAGAATATCTAACAGGCACACATAGTACGAGCATTATTTTTAGAAGAATATATAAATTCATAAGCTGGTCTTACCTGAAAAACTCCTCATGATCCTTGTACCATTTAACAGAGTTTAGGGTGTGACCTCGCATGTCGTAGCTGCAGGATAACGTCACATTGTCCCGAAAGTCTACGATTTCCGGGACACTAATGTCCGTGACAAACAGAGCTGATGCAATGGGGTAATCTAAAAAGGGTTTTAGGAATTCTAAGTACCATGAAGTGAAATAATATTTAATGTTCCAAAAAATTATTTCCAAATCATAAAAATCCCCCTAGAGCTTAATACATAGTTGATAATTAAAGAGAACAAACTATATAATTTTTCTCCATATACTCCAAACTAAACGATGGCTCCTGACATCCTGTTTAGACTATCAGGTCCCAAAAAAATGCCACAGGGCAGTGACAAAATTTGGTAACCAAAACTCGGAGAGATGCACGGAGATCTGGTGGGTGGAGGTCTTTCGGTTATGCGTAATTTTTAATTCACGCAGGTGACTGACCTGGGAAAATGGGAAAACTAGGGGAATGTGACCAAATTTCGGCAGGACCTGGCGCATGAGACATCGAATAAATTTGAAATTTCATGAAATGAATATGCAAAACAGTTAGTTAGCCAGGTGGACCAGCACCAGAGGGAGATTCCGAGACTCGGATAGAAAATAGGAGAGAAGGTAGAGAAACGCAAAAGCCATGGATATAGAGCCATATGTAACTGGCATATGTAGTTATCCCCACATCCTTTTGGTGATAGTTTTTGGGGGCAGAGTTCCAACAAAGCTGGCTACCGACCAAATAAACAACCAAGTGGGCGGTTGGCCCAGACAGCTGATAAGAAATGAGAACTAACCAAATGTCAAAAGAGTTGACTTTGGCAATGCCAAAAATAAATTTAGCATAAACCGAGAGATGCGTATTCTTCAGAAGGGCTCTAAAATTGTGAAACTTATACTTATAAATATAGATATTGAAAATAAAATTTTTAGGACTTCCATTTCTGAAGTACATATTTTTAATTAGCAATTGAAATGTGATAAGATGCTGTATATTTTACAAATTACTTTCATATTGTTTACTAAAACATCTAAAAATATACCTGAAAAAAGGGAAAATTTAAGACTCATGGAAGCCAAACCAACACATTACCATTCTGTGTGGGTTAAGCTTGTTTCCCCGCTTAACCACACAAAAGAGGATGGAGAAACTAGGTGTGGGTTAAGCCGAGTCAGAGAAACAAGCACACATAGATATATTTACACCTCAGCATAGAAAACTTTGCTGATAATTAACCTACACATTTCATTTGAGAGTGGCAAACGCATTCATTCCAGGACTACGTTCCCCCATATCTCCTCCCACTTGTGGACGAATTTACATAGGAATTTTTGGGGACAGTACGACGTGGGTGTACAAGTTTGGTGATAAATTCATTTGGAGCGGCCGAGACTAGACATTTAGGCAAACATTTTTGCTGTGGCTTGTTTTTTATTTTTAATAGCTCCTTGTGGTTCAGTGGGGAGGTGTGTGTTTCTGTACAACAATCCACACAGCTCGGTCGTCTCTTGTGGCTGGCACATATGCATAAATATTCATTTCATCAGTAGGCCTAAGCTCGGCTACTAAAACCCACAAAGTGCCTAAAAAGTATCTATGAAATACCAACAAACAACAAAATTGTTTGCTCTTTTTTGTTTGAGAACAGAATGCATCTGGATCTACAAATTAATTGGGTTCCGAATGATAGAACAGTCCAACTGATTTTTCAATGTAAATAAACAGCTCCATCCCTTTTGTTATTTGTTGTAGTTCCTTTGCGGTTACCAAGGGCGACATCGTAAATTGGATGCTCCAGAATGGACAATATTTAATTCCATTATGCTGGCTAAATAGTTGTTGCTGGCAAACACTCTAAATATAGAATGGCCACAGAAAATTGAAAAGTTACAACTCCCCAGCAGAACTTTCTTTCTGATACTCCTTGCTCCTGGTTTCTTTTGTTAGGCAACCCTTTGTGTGGCTCCTGGACTGCATGGAGCTATATATCCCAGAATGAAAGTACTCTGAGGTGAGTTTGTGGGAAAAATGTGTCAGCGGCAGTCGAATAAAATGGTAAAAAAAGTAACAAAACTCTTTTTTCACTTTTTAGTATTATGTCAAATTAGTTTATTTTCTTGGAGATATTAAAGAATTAGGTATTAGCCATAAAACTGATAATCAAAGGATTATTATCAATATAATATATACATCAGTATTTTATTACGGAAAAATTGTACAATAAACTTTACAAACTTGAAGAGTTGTGAAAGCAAAGCTAGCACACATGATGGAATACCATTTCTAGGTCCTATAGGAAAGAACGAAGAGAAAAGTGAGCCAGCTCATTTAATGCGCTGCAAATTAATTGCCCCACTGCCATTGGCAATTCGAGTGCTCCGACAGCAGGGAATGAAAACCAAGCAAGAAGTGAGCCAGAGAACTGGGGGGATGCCTTTGGCAGTCTGCCTAATTGCGAACATTTCAAAAATACAATTTAAGTTTAAACTGCACTCAAGATGTGCTGCCGTTGCTGCTGCCTGCTCCTTTGGCCAAAGTTGCGGCAGCAGAAATTACCAAATGCCAAAAGGGATGACGGCAGCAACGGCAGCTAACCATAGTGCAACTGCAACTGCGCCAGCCGTTGAAATTATGGCAAAAGTCATTAAAAGCGCAGAGTTTTCCCAGCACTCCACTCACCAGAGGCAAAAGTTTCCCAATATTGATTTGCGGTTGCTGTTCCGCGCAAACACCAATAACAATTAAAATAATAATAATAAACCGATTCGGGAACGGCACTCAACGGCGGCAAAAGCCCGGTGATTTGACCGGCTCACATTACGCATACGCACCGTTGTCCACAAATCCCCGCCATCGCTTCATTAACCAAACAAATATTGTAAAACCAGGGACACCAAAAGCAAAACACAAATTGAAAGCAATAACAGGAAAAAAAATAATAATAATTTCCTCGATTACGGGCGGAGACAAAAACTTACCAATTAAAAGTGCGATGAACAGAAACATCAGCCAGCCGTAATCCATTTTTTTGCCGGCGTCCTTATTGTTGCTCTTGTTTGAATAAAATTAATTGCTTCCAGTTATTGTTGCTCTTGGCTTTGGCAGTGGCGTTGATTTATGCAGTTTATCCCTGTCCTCCCTCAATATCCCGCCTTTATCTCTTCGGATCCTTTTTATTTTGTTTCGAGTGCAGTGAAGAGGATGCGACAAAAAACTAGAATCAAACAGCCAAGTGGAGGTCAAACGGGTAGCTCAATTAATTGAACACTGTGTCAAAGGAAGATGTACAAAAGGAGAATGCCAAATCCAAATCGAGATGGAGAAACGGAAAAAAGAGAATATAAATAAATAAAACTTGAGCGACAAACTCATGCAGAAAAGTTCAAAGGATACGCTCTGTCAGTGTCGTTATAAATAAATAACAAACATTAGAGCTGCTCGAAGAAAAGAAGAAGCCGATGCGAATGGAGTTGGTACACAACAAAAAAATGTAACGAGGCTTATATACATATTCATAAGCACAACTAATTCATAAAATAACTTTTTCCTTAGACATATTTGTTAAAATAAATGATAACCGATCGATATAAATAATGAGCTGGGAAAAAAAAAATACGTTGATAAAACCCACTCGATTTATTTCTTCGTGTACCAACTCGCATGAAAGGGAAAGCAGGAAAAAACAGAAAAAAACAAGGACATGTGGGCGTGGCAGACGCCCTGGCATCCTGTTTTGTAGGACTGGCTGGTATGTGTATGTGCGTTTGTCAACTTAAATAATTTAAATGCCAAATTCAAACGAATCCATGTGTTTAATATTTGAATAAGCCATCGACTACCACCAGCCACGCCCCCAACACAGAAGTCCTTGTACTTCAGTACCTTTTTTTAGCCGTTCACTTTATTTATCTTGGTTGTTCGTGCCAATTTGGTTTGGTTAGAGTTGACATTAAACTGAAATTGAAGCACTCTGCGGAACCGGAAGTTTCCAATCCTGTTCAGCTTGTCGCCACGTCCATGTGGCAATTTTAAACTTATTTCGTTTTATTTGGTTTTAAGTTGCCAAAAGTTCATTCACTACTTTTATTTCCTTTTATTCACTTTAACTTTTTCTTTTTTCGGTCAGATGAAGCCTTTTTCAACAATCCTTGATGTTTAATTGACCATTCGCAAAGGGATGGAATAGTACATTTTATGATTCTCTTATCTTTGAGTCTTTTTTTTCAAGCACATGTATTCGTAATTATGTTTCTTTTACTATAGTAAGTGAACTCATGGGCAGTTTTATGCCTTTTTTTATGGGACACAAAGCGGGGCGACGATTCGGGAACACTATGGAAAAGTATCTCCGCGCGGATTCAGGCTTACGAGCTGACTGATGCTGCGAATTCGAAATCGGGAGTTCCATTTCGCAGATGCCATCGCTTTTGGCAGCGCAGCCGGCGTCGCAGCTGCCAAAGGACTTCGTGTCCGGCTCTCGTGTAATGGTACCGCTCAGCATCTAACTGTGGCCTCGGGTGCTGACGAAGTCGGTTACACGAGAGCTGAACCTGTAAAGGACCTTTGGTCCACGGGGACTTACTGCAAAGAGAGTCAAAGAGAAACAACGATACGAAAAGAATATTTTGTAGCTTTGTCGCTCACTGTTAGCAGTTAACAGCAAGGATATGAAGGCAAACAGCTTCAGTGAGCAAAAACAGCGACAAAATATTCTGTTAATGGTGCTAACAGAAACAGAACACTAAAAAATAATTGTTTGATAAAAAAAAATTATTTAACAAAAATTTAACAATATATAGCTTTTTAATTTTTCTTACCTTTTCCGAAGGGGTATGGTGGGTACCGCAAAATGGCGAATTTTCCTAATTTTCACACTTTCTCTTCTTCCGGTGGCCATAGCTCTGCCAAATCGTATCCCATCAGGAAATAAAGTACCATTTTGTAATCAAATCAATCAATTTGTGGATTTTCCTAAATTCCTCCTTCCGAACGGAGCGAACCAAAATGGCGAAAATTGGAAAAACCACCATTTTATAAGGGTTCCCCTAGGAAAAAATTCGAAAAATTTCAAAACTATATTTCAGCCAGGTTTTGAATGAGGAAACTCGCTTCTGGGTTCGCTGATTACAAAATGGTACTTTATTTCCTGATCGGATACGATTTGGCAGAGCTATGGCCATAAGTTGGAAAAGCAAACCAAAATGGCGAAAGTAGGAAAACCCACCATTTTATAGGGGTACCCCTAGGAAAAAATTCGAAAAATTTCAAAACTATATTACAGCCATGTTTGGAATAAAGAAAGTCGCTTCTGGGTTCGCTGATTACAAAATGGTACTTTATTTTCTGATTGGATACGATTTGGCAGAGCTATGGCCATAAGTTGGAAAAGAAAACCAAAATGGCGAAAGTAGGAAAACCCACCATTTTATAGGGGTACCCCTAGGAAAAAATTCGAAAAATTTCAAAACTATATTACAGCCATGTTTGGAATAAAGAAAGTCGCTTCTGGGTTCGCTGATTACAAAATGGTACTTTATTTTCTGAATGGATACGATTTGGCAGAGCTATGGCCATCGGAGCGAACCAAAATGTCGAAAGTTGGAAAACCCATCATTTTATAAGGGTTCCCCTAGGAAAAAATTCGAAAAATTTCAAAACTATATTTCAGCCATGTTTTGAATGAGGAAACTCGCTTCTGGGTTCGCTGATTACAAAATGGTACTTTATTTCCTGATCGGATACGATTTGGCAGAGCTATGGCCATAAGTTGGAAAAGCAAACCAAAATGGCGAAAGTAGGAAAACCCACCATTTTATAGGGGTACCCCTAGGAAAAAATTCGAAAAATTTCAAAACTATATTACAGCCATGTTTGGAATAAAGAAAGTCGCTTCTGGGTTCGCTGATTACAAAATGGTACTTTATTTTCTGAATGGATACGATTTGGCAGAGCTATGGCCATCGGAGCGAACCAAAATGTCGAAAGTTGGAAAACCCATCATTTTATAAGGGTATCCCCAGGAAAAAATTCGAAAAATTTATAAACTATATTTTAACCATTTTTGAAATGAGGAAAGTCGCTTTTGGGTTCGCTGATTACAAAATGGTACTTTGTTTCCTCATCGGATACAAATTGGCAGAGCTATGGCCATCGGAGCAAACCAAAATGGCGAAAGTAGGAAAACCCACCATTTTATAGGGGTACCCCTAGGAAAAAATTAGAAAAATTTCAAAACTATATTTCAGCCATGTTTGGAATAAAGAAAGTCGCTTCTGGGTTCGCTGATTACAAAATGGTACTTTATTTTCTGATTGGATACGATTTGGCAGAGCTATGGCCATCGGAGCGAACCAAAATGTCGAAAGTTGGAAAACCCATCATTTTATAGGGGTACCACTAGGAAAAAATTCGAAAAATTTATAGACTATATTTTAGCCATTTTTAAAATGAGGAAAGTCGCTTCTGGGTTCGCTGATTACAAAATGGTACTTTATTTTCTGATCGGATACGATTTGGCAGAGCTATGGCCATCGGAGCGAACCAAAATGGCGAAAGTTGGAAAACCCACCATTTTATAGGGGTACCACTAGGAAAAAATTCGAAAAATTTCAAAACTATATTTTAGTCATGTTTGGAATAAAGAAAGTCGCTTTTGGGTTCGCTGATTACAAAATGGTACTTTGTTTCCTCATCGGATACAAATTGGCAGAGCTATGGCCATCGGAGCAAACCAAAATGGCGAAAGTAGGAAAACCCACCATTTTATAGGGGTACCCCTAGGAAAAAATTAGAAAAATTTCAAAACTATATTTCAGCCATGTTTGGAATAAAGAAAGTCGCTTCTGGGTTCGCTGATTACAAAATGGTACTTTATTTTCTGATTGGATACGATTTGGCAGAGCTATGGCCATCGGAGCGAACCAAAATGTCGAAAGTTGGAAAACCCATCATTTTATAGGGGTACCACTAGGAAAAAATTCGAAAAATTTATAAACTATATTTTAGCCATTTTTGAAATGAGGAAAGTCGCTTCTGGATTCGCTGATTACAAAATAGTACTTTATTTTCTGATTGGATACGATTTGGCAGAGCTATGGCCATCGGAGCGAACCAAAATGTCGAAAGTTGGAAAACCCATCATTTTATAGGGGTACCACTAGGAAAAAATTCGAAAAATTTAAAAACTATATTTTAGCCATTTTTGAAATGAGGAAAGTCGCTTCTGGGTTCGCTGATTACAAAATGGTACTTTGTTTCCTCATCGGATACAAATTGGCAGAGCTATGGCCATCGGAGCAAACCAAAATGGCGAAAGTAGGAAAACCCACCATTTTATAGGGGTACCCCTAGGAAAAAATTAGAAAAATTTCAAAACTATATTTCAGCCATGTTTGGAATAAAGAAAGTCGCTTCTGCGTTCGCTGATTACAAAATGGTACTTTATTTTCTGATTGGATACGATTTGGCAGAGCTATGGCCATCGGAGCGAACCAAAATGTCGAAAGTTGGAAAACCCATCATTTTATAGGGGTACCACTAGGAAAAAATTCGAAAAATTTATAAACTATATTTTAGTCATTTTTGAAATGAGGAAAGTCGCTTCTGGATTCGCTGATTACAAAATGGTACTTTATTTTCTGATTGGATACGATTTGGCAGAGCTATGGCCATCGGAGCGAACCAAAATGTCGAAAGTTGGAAAACCCATCATTTTATAGGGGTACCACTAGGAAAAAATTAGAAAAATTTCAAAACTATATTTCAGCCATGTTTGGAATAAAGAAAGTCGCTTCTGGGTTCGCTGATTACAAAATGGTACTTTATTTTCTGATTGGATACGATTTGGCAGAGCTATGGCCATCGGAGCGAACCAAAATGTCGAAAGTTGGAAAACCCATCATTTTATAAGGGTATCCCCAGGAAAAAATTCGAAAAATTTATAAACTATATTTTAACCATTTTTGAAATGAGGAAAGTCGCTTTTGGGTTCGCTGATTACAAAATGGTACTTTGTTTCCTCATCGGATACAAATTGGCAGAGCTATGGCCATCGGAGCAAACCAAAATGGCGAAAGTAGGAAAACCCACCATTTTATAGGGGTACCCCTAGGAAAAAATTAGAAAAATTTCAAAACTATATTTCAGCCATGTTTGGAATAAAGAAAGTCGCTTCTGGGTTCGCTGATTACAAAATGGTACTTTATTTTCTGATTGGATACGATTTGGCAGAGCTATGGCCATCGGAGCGAACCAAAATGTCGAAAGTTGGAAAACCCATCATTTTATAGGGGTACCACTAGGAAAAAATTCGAAAAATTTATAGACTATATTTTAGCCATTTTTAAAATGAGGAAAGTCGCTTCTGGGTTCGCTGATTACAAAATGGTACTTTATTTTCTGATCGGATACGATTTGGCAGAGCTATGGCCATCGGAGCGAACCAAAATGGCGAAAGTTGGAAAACCCACCATTTTATAGGGGTACCACTAGGAAAAAATTCGAAAAATTTCAAAACTATATTTTAGTCATGTTTGGAATAAAGAAAGTCGCTTTTGGGTTCGCTGATTACAAAATGGTACTTTGTTTCCTCATCGGATACAAATTGGAAGAGCTATGGCCATCGGAGCAAACCAAAATGGCGAAAGTAGGAAAACCCACCATTTTATAGGGGTACCCCTAGGAAAAAATTAGAAAAATTTCAAAACTATATTTCAGCCATGTTTGGAATAAAGAAAGTCGCTTCTGGGTTCGCTGATTACAAAATGGTACTTTATTTTCTGATTGGATACGATTTGGCAGAGCTATGGCCATCGGAGCGAACCAAAATGTCGAAAGTTGGAAAACCCATCATTTTATAGGGGTACCACTAGGAAAAAATTCGAAAAATTTATAAACTATATTTTAGCCATTTTTGAAATGAGGAAAGTCGCTTCTGGATTCGCTGATTACAAAATAGTACTTTATTTTCTGATTGGATACGATTTGGCAGAGCTATGGCCATCGGAGCGAACCAAAATGTCGAAAGTTGGAAAACCCATCATTTTATAGGGGTACCACTAGGAAAAAATTCGAAAAATTTAAAAACTATATTTTAGCCATTTTTGAAATGAGGAAAGTCGCTTCTGGGTTCGCTGATTACAAAATGGTACTTTGTTTCCTCATCGGATACAAATTGGCAGAGCTATGGCCATCGGAGCAAACCAAAATGGCGAAAGTAGGAAAACCCACCATTTTATAGGGGTACCCCTAGGAAAAAATTAGAAAAATTTCAAAACTATATTTCAGCCATGTTTGGAATAAAGAAAGTCGCTTCTGCGTTCGCTGATTACAAAATGGTACTTTATTTTCTGATTGGATACGA